TAAAGCTTCTCACTTTAAAACCATTTACCAAAGTGGGATCATATTACAAAATGTAGGCCTGCATTCCAAACCTTGCTTTTTTCACATAAAAATCCTAGCCATTCGCTATTTCCTTAAAAGTTATGAAGGCAATACCCATATGGTTTAAAATGTTTATTAAGACAAACTATACTGGCCAGACGCAGTGGGTCATGCCTGTAATCCTAGCACTTGGGAGGCTGAGGTGGGAGGACTGCTTGAGCCCAGGAGTTTGAGGCTGCAGTGAGCTATGATGATGTCACTGCGTTCTAGCCCGGGCATCAGAGTAAGACCTTGTCTCAAAACAAAACAAAAAACACCTATACCAATCGTAAACATAGTTCAGTGATTTATCAGAATGCAAACACCCATATACCTTCCCTTCAGGTAAAGAAACGGAACATTCCCAGCACCCCAGACGTGCCCCTGTGTCCCTCTCAGTTTCTTCTCTCCTCCCCAGAGAAGTAACTATTAGCCTCACTTTATGATAATCACCTCCTTGCTTTCTTTACACAGTCAGTCCTTATTGTTCTCCAATTTCATATTTCCCAATTCATCTACTCACTAAAATTTGTTTGTAATCCCCAAATCAATACTCGTGGTGCCTTTGTGGTCGTTTGTAGACATGCACAGAGTTGCATGTCCCCTGATGCACACACATCCAGCTGAGGTTGAATAAAGCAGTGCTCTGCCTTCTTGTTTCAGCCTTCATACTATAAACAAATGTCCTTTTTGCAGTCTATTTAATGTCATATTTTTCTCATTTTTTGTGCTTTTTATTGGGCGCTTAAATGTCTCCCAAGACGTGCTGTTCAGTGTTAAGTACAAGAAGGCTGTGGTATGCCTTATAAAGATACATGTGTTAGTTAAACTTTGGTTAGGTATGAGTTATAGTGCTTTTGGTCAGGTATGAGTTATAGTGCTTTTGGTCATGAGTTCAATGTTAATGAATCAACAATATATATTAAATAAGATATCTTTAAACAGAAACCCATAAAACAAGATTATGTATTGATCATTTGGCATACATATTGTGACCTTCTAAAGGCTTATATGAATCTAACCCTATATTTTCCCTAAAAGCAGTGGTTCAGTATTTGCTAGTTCAGTGTTCGCAGCAACTTTCTAGAACATAACTACTGCAAATAATGAGAATTGACTAGTTTTATCACGGAAATGTGCATTCCTAAATATTACAGTATTATTCTGCTTTTTACATGAATGGAATCACACAGTATGTGTTCTTTTGTGTCTGGCTTCTTTTGTTTTACCATTATGTTTGTGAGATTCATCATGATGTTACATGTAACAGTGATTTTCCATTTTTATTACTGTATAATATTCAATTGTATAAATATACCACAGTTTATTTTTCCATCCTCCCATTGATGGTTATTTGGGTTATTTCTACTTTACGACTTTTCTAAACAGTATTGCTATGAACATTCTTATAGATGTTTTTTACCACATATATCTACATATTTCAGTTGTATATACAGTCGGCCCTTTGTATCTGTGGGTTTCATATCCATGGATTCAACCAATGGTGGATCGAAAATATTAGGAAAAAAATGAATGGTTGTGTCTGTACTGAACATGTACTGACTTTTTTCCTTATCATTATTCCCTGAACAATACAGTATAGCAACTATTTACATACCACTTACATTGTATTGGGTATTTTAAGTAACCTAGAGATGATTTAAAATATATGGGAGGATGTGTACAGATTACATGCAAATACTACACCATTTTATATAAGGAACTTGAGCATCCGTGGGTTTTGATTTTAACTCAGGTTTTACCTTGAGTTAGAATAGTAGGTGTTTATCACTTGTGGAATGTGTAGATGAGCTGGAGAGTACTTGTTATCTTGTAGCATTTCAGAAGAGGAAATTGAAAGAGCTTTATTAAACAAAGGTGGGGCTGGAAGAGACGTGATGAGATGAATATACACGAAATGATTCACCTTTAAAATTACTTACATATTTTTAAGGTTTGAGTCTAAATATGTAGATATCAAAGCCAAAGTTTAATAAATATAAGAAAAGAATATTTGTTGTCCTTATCATGACTTTTGTAAGTAGAGTAACTATATAAATTTGTCATCCCAGGCAAGGCATATGCTAAATTTTACCTGACATGGATATAAACTAGGGACTATCATAGGCAAACCAGAACATACAGTTGCTCTAATTAAAAAGGTATTTTATTTTTTCTAGCTCTCAGTGGAGATTGTAGATCCACCTTAACAGATTTTCCTCTCCAAATCATTATACTTTTTAAAATATCATAAAATTTGAACAAATCATTAGTAAATGTGAGTGCAAGCTCATGTGTTCTTCTAAAATATTTTAGGCTGCAAACCAAGGGTCAAAATTCAAAGACCGTCGGCTACAAATATCATGGCACAAGCCCAAGGTACCATCTATATCTACTGAGACTGAGGAAGAAGAAGTCAAGGAGGAGGTAAATTTAACAATTGAAAA